AGTCCAGAGTCACAGCCTCCTTCTCCTGCACCAATATAGCTGGTTTAATTTGAGGTACTTCTCAGCAAAACCAGATTCTGAAGGAGAAAGCAAAGAACCATGTCCAGTTATGAAAACTGCCATGTCCTGTTATGCAAATTATATACAGTGATAGTCTACATGTTTTAACATAGTTCACAACTCTCAAATACTATGGAGATGATGAGGTTTCTTAACCTTCTTAACCTTTTCTTAAACTTTTCATACATCTCATGTATTCCTATAAAAAATGGATACCAAATACAAAAATTATTTGATGTCTTGATACTACTCAAGAAAAGACAGAGTTCCAAAGTTTGAAAGACACTAGAGAAGCTAGAAAAAAAATCCATGAGCAGAAAATTATACTAAATATGGCTTTCTGACTAATGTCCTCATGCAAGTACCTCCTATAGAACACGAAAAAAAATCTATGGAAAATTTTAGTAACTACATCTGAGATCAATTATGGATTTGTTTCATCAGCCAGAAAGGCTACCTGGTGGAACCAAATGATCTCCAGTGATTACTTGTTTTAGCAACCTTCCAGAAACAGCCCATCATAGTAGGGATATATTGGCTGCAATATTATACAAATAGTTGGGGAAAAACTTTTCTAGGATAACACAGAATATGACCAGTTTATGCCTTTTTGAAACCTGTAAGGATTCATGAAAACTATAAAAATGGAATATGAACTGGAATACTGTCCTAAGGAAACAGCTGAATATCTCCAAAGGGGTTTTAAACAATTATGTTCCCTAGAGAGTTATGAATATGCACTAGTAAGAGTTGTTTTATTTTCTGCATGGGTTGAACCACTTTCTTGTGAGAAATACAGCACTAACAATGGCTGAACATCAATTTAAATTTGTTTTCCTACCTGTGACATTTCAAATTATCTACACATAGGGGAACATATTTTTCTGGGGCACTTATATAACATTTTGCCTTCACTCAGAAACTTCTCTTTTCTTATCACCTCCTTATCTAAAAACGGAGAAACAACACATGGGAAATATTAAAACTAAAATTAATTATGGTATCAGATATCCTTGAGCTTCTATGAGATAATGCATTTTATTACCCTTCGCTCTCATGGCCTTGAATTCTTTCCCCTAACATCATAGGTTCTTTTACTATCAACTGGTGACTCGTAGGTCCATATTACTCCTAATGTCTGGAATCATATTTAATTCATTCTTTCACAAACTTAACTAGATAAATGAACCCATTATACGCAGTCCTTATACCAACAGTTACAGTTTTCTTTCCTAACCTTTCATTTAATCAGCCTTTACATGACCTAAGCCTGGATGCATTGGTATATAGAAAAAATTCCAGATAAAGACTGCCTTTCAACCTTGTGAAAATGACCTTATTAGGTACTGTTTATTACCAGTTCAACAGATAAAGGAATTGGTCTGTGGTTACTTTTTACCAATTAGTTTGACATCATCTGACCTTAGATGACAAGAATTGAGAAGTTATTCACATTACAGATCTTAAACTGAGGTTCTTCAGAGACTCTTTAGACCTTTTCAGAAAATGAATGCAGACCTAAGATCCTTGAAACACATGTATTAGTGAATAAAGTAGACAGCTCCAACCAAGGAGATTGGAAGAGTATTATCTAGATTACTGGAACCACTGGTTGTTTTACTATCTTTGCATTCTTTTGTTTTTCATCCTTTCAGTGGTATTTTTCAAATTTAATGGCACAATGTTGCATAGATTTGTAATTTTTTCTACTTTATTCTTTTGCTAATGAAACAATTTGCTTAGGTATAGACTTGAGGCAATAGCCATCCTAACACTTTTCACCTCTACAAAGCCATAGCTAGTGCAAAAAAATTAAATAATTGTGAGATATGTCATTCTATGCTAAATCCTGGGAAAATCCAAGTATTAACCATACCCAATAAATATGATTAAAATAAATTTTGATCAATAAACTTAGTCTTAAAATATCAGAAAAATATCTATTGATAAAAATTTAGGGTAGAGTTGGTACAACTAAACTTGATGTGATTAACTCTGATTATAGGGGTTGGTTCAATCCTCAACTGAACCTCTCCATTATCAATTGCCATACTGTTTGCTTAAACACTATACTTGCTATAGTGTTTCTTTAAACTATAAATTAAACCTCCAAAGAAATTCAAGTATTTGAAATCTTGAATTATTCCTATCACACGACAAAAGTTTAAAACACTCAGGTATAGAAAAAACAGAGTGGTAGCAGAGATGATGATCATGCACGTGCCCAATGTTGTGTGCTTTCTCTAACCAAGATTTGGACATTTCAAAAGATTGCATATTGCATCATTCCATTCATGTGACATCCTGAAAAAGATAAAAATATAAAAGAACAGACCAAGGTTTGCAAGAAGTTTGAGATGGAGAGGATGTGATTTCACACGGATAGCACTAGGGAGTTTTTGGGGTAAGCAATCTGTTTTGTATCATAATTGTGTAATGGTAATCATATCATACATAATTGTGAAACCATAAATAAAGCAAAATTCAAATTTCACACAGTGAATTGCATATCAAAATGTGTTCCTTTTTAACGTGGTAATTTAAAAACTGAACATTGTAAAAACTAAGAAAATAAAGCAATTGATGTGGTTTCCATTTTCCTATCTGGAACTCTGATTTTCTTTCTCAACTTGTGAAAAGGATAGCACCAGGCATGCCAACTGTGGTAGGCAAAATAAGGGCTCTAAAATTTAGGCCCCAGTCCCTGGAATCCATGAAAGTTATCTTATGTAGCCAAGGGGAAAAAGATATTGCAGATATGATTAAGGATCCTGGGATGAGAGGTTATCCTGTATTAGATGGGCCTTAAATGTAATCACATGTGTACTTTTAATAGGGAGGCAGAGGGAGATGATAAAAGAAGAGAAGCAATGCAACCATAGAGGCAGAGATCAGAGTAATGGAGCCACGAGCCAAGAAATAGAGGCAGCCATCAGAGCTGGAAGAGGCAAGGAACAGCTGACCTTTCTTATCCAGCTGTTTTAACCCTAATTTAATCTAATTATTTTCCGTTTAAGAACAAACCATAACTAACAGCTGTAACTCAGCCAGGTGGAATTTTTCTCCCCATGCCAACTGCCTATTAGAGCCATCCTTGGGAATAATATAAGAGATCTTAAAATTAGCCTACCCTTGACCACAGTTGGGAGAAATAGGGAATTAATTATTTATGCACCTTCTTTATTTCCACTGATTTATCTACAACACTGAAACATACAACTCATTTAAAGGAAATGGTGGTAGTAATGTTTAATTCAGTCAAACATGAAAATGAGGTAGGGAGATTTGTAGCAAGCTGTCTGTAAATTAACCATTGGTCCAAAGGCCTGTTGTAATCCACTAATAAGAATTGAGTAATATAGGGCCAGGCATTGTGGCTCACGTCTGTATTCCCAGCAGTTTGGGAGACCAAGGCAGGCGGATCACTTGAGATCAGGAGTTCGAGACCAGCCTGGCTAACATATTGAAACCCCCTCTCTACTAAAAATACAAAAATTAGCCGGGTGTGGTGGCAGGCACCTGTAATCCCAGCTACTCGGGAGGCTGAGGCAGGAGAATCACTTGAACCCAGGAGGCAGAGTTTGCAGTGAGCTGGGATTGCACCACTGCACTCCAGCCTGGGCGACAGAGTGATACTCCGTCTCAAAAAAAAAAAAAAAAAGAAAAGAAAAGAAAATGAGTAGGATAACTGGAAAATGTATGTAGAAAACATTCCTATGTGCCATAGAAAGAAAGATAAAGGTGGCAAAAAAATTAAATGTGTGGGAATAAATTTATCTGAAAACAATAAAGCTTCATGGAGAAAGACATAGGAAAATGAAAAGAAAGACTATGTTCTTGAATAATCAGGTATTCAAGCATACGTTTTAAGATGTTTTATACTTCAAAAATCAATTTTTAACTTTAACCACAAAGCCTAAATTAAAATTTTGACTATACTATAGCATAATTAACTTCTTTCTTCTTTTTTTTAACAAACATTTATTGACTATTAACTTTGTGAAAAAGATTGTTCTGGCCTTTGCAGATATAGCAGCTATTAAAACACACATCTCTCTTTTCTAAATTCTATGAGAGAGTAAAGGCTAGCATACTAATAAGAGTTGAAAATAATCGATTGGCAAGTCTATTCTGAAGCTCACATTCTCATATAACTTCCTATCTTAATTTCCCTCAAACACACAAACAATATGTATAATCACTGGACTCTAAAGGAAAACCCCAGTCACATTTTCTTAACAAAAAACAACAGGAAGAAAAAGATGCCATATTTTACCACAAGTATAGAGAAGAAGAAAATAAAAATTGCTGTGACTTATAAAAATTTCTCACAGAGCTATTAAAAAAGAAGTATTTGAGGAGAGGACATAATAAAATGAAGAATGCTCAATTCACAATATAATAATAGTAAGTAAAAAAATCATGATTTTAATTATAATAAAAATATATGAAGACTCTAACCAAATATTAGCAAAACAATATCTGGGGTATAGGATTATGAATTTCACATTTTCTGTATTTTTTTTTTTTTTAGATGGAGTCTTGCTCTCTCACCCAGGCTGGAGTGCAGTGGCTGGATCTCGGCTCACTGCAACCTCTGCCTGCTAGGTTCAAGCAATTCTCCTGCCTCAGCCTCCCAAGTAGCTGGGATTATAGGCGCACACTACCATGCCCTGCTAAATTTTTGTATTTTTAGTAGAGACAGGGTTTCACCATGCTGGCCAGGCTGCTCTTGAACTCCTGACCTCGTGATCTTCCCGCCTCAGCCTCCCAAAGTCCTGGGATTACAGGCATGAGCCACCACGCCCAGTTTAATTTTTGTATATTTAGTACAGACGGGGTTTCACCATCTTAGATAGGCTCGTCTTGAACTCCTGACCTTGTGATCCACCGGCCTTGCCCTCCCAAAGTGCTGGGATTACAGCCGTCAGCCACAGTGCCCGGCCTTTTACATATTTTCTGTATTTGGCATATAATGTTTTACAATCAGAAAAAAAATACAATTTTCAAATGACAAGAGTGAAAAGCACATTCATAACAGGGATTATGATATTGATATTAAGGGGTTATTTATAGCAGAGGAGTCCAAATTTATAGGAAAATGTAAACTCATCTTTAAAGCCTAGATTTTAAAATAATTCCTTTTAAGAATCTACTGAGCAGAGCCTCCTGATCACTGAATGAGCACATAGAGGTGCCTGGGAGGAGGCACAGCCACAGAAGACATGGAAGCTCGGGATTCCCTCCCCTACACCTTGCCATATGCATCTCTTCATCTGGCTGTTCATTTTTTACTATGTATATGTATGTCAAAACATCATGTTGCATACCTTAAACATATACAATAATATAAATGTTAGAAAAAAGAATTCGTTAAGCAACAGTCAACGAAATGTTCTAAGCCTTTCCAGGTTACCTTGAACCTAACTAACCTTTTTTTATATGCTTTTAATGTCAATATGTTAGTTTCACTTGCAAACAAACAGTATGACAAATGCTATACTTGAAGGTTTATGACAAAGGAAAGGGATTGCAGCTTCAGCTCCAGTCTCAGGTTTCAGTACGGGTAGCAGGTGCCTGGGAAGCAATGTGCACCAGCTGCGCAGAAGTAGAGAGCTGAGTCTCCAGGTTGGGTGTCTGTGATGTGCAGGGAGAAATGTTTGGCTGCCTTATTCAATAAAACAGTCATTCTTCCGTCTTTCCTTTTGTCCGCATTTGAACGAATGTCTATAATGAGCCGAGGTCCTTTTCCAAGTTCTTGCTTATACCAAGGGAAGTAGTTTGAGGCACTGTCTGAATAAGTACAGTTGATAACAGAGCTGTCTCCCACCTGGACACTCAGAGTAGAAGGACGCTGCTCCACATTCTCTCCATTCACCACTATGCAGAAAGAAAAATATCAGAGATATAAGAGGGGTTATTAGGTCATTCCTCTCTAGAATTATTTTTCATACTAACAAGAGGAAACCCAAATAAAGCAAGTCTCCTCTTTGAACTTCTAAAGAATATCCACTAATTTACTGTTACCCCAAAACCCTCAACTCACAATCCAGGTGCAGCCACAAGAATATAAATACAGCGCAAATGGATGTCATCATTGTTCTTCCCAATTGAGATTAGTCATACACCTGCAACCTCCAGTTACAAGAGTCACTTCTATCACCAGGTTGTCCCTTATCTCCTCTAACAACCATAGCAGTTGCTCACATTGTGTACCCAACCAATAAGAAAAAGGCTCTGCTTCTACCATAACCCTCTATTCTGAACCCTCTATTCTGCCTCTGCAGAGGAACACTACCATCTTGTGGTCACATCCCTAACTACTGAACTTGCTGGTTGAATGTGTTTCGCTAACCCTATGAGCCACTCAGGTGCACAAAAGCAGCAGTGAGTCAAACAAATTGGGTGTTCAATTAGAGATTAAATGCCCAGTAAGAATGTAGATATCTAACTCTGTAGTTATGCACTCTACTGAGCCATTATTTGTAAACTGGAAAGAAGTAGATGCTGTTGATGTTTAGTTAATAAGGGGCTGAGTTTGTATGTTTGAAATTAGGAAAATACCATAATTCACTCTCATAAACAAAGAAAAAATAATGTCTTCCGTTTAGTTCAAGTCTACCATCTTGACTTGTTTGTTATGAAGGAAAACTCTTTCTTTAAGGAATATGTCAGCCAAAGATCAGAGTAAGAGAGAGAGGACCCCTCAATATTTCAAGCACATATTACTGGAGGTTCTGCTTCTTCAAGCCTGGTCTTGCATGTGACCTTGCTAGTCCCAGAAAACTGACAGTACCAACAATCAAAATGTGGAATATTTATTGAATAAAAACAGCTTTAATAAAAGGTAAAAAAAAGTAAAAATGATAAAGGAGGAGGGGGACAAGTTCCATGAGTTATTAATACTCCAACAATAGGAATAGTTTGACCCATAGTTTGGGCCAGTTTGCAAGGAGAAATCTGGCATGTTTTAAGAAGTCTTTTCCTATTGCTATATGTCTTGTTTTCTGCAAAGTGTTGAAAGAACAAGAAGAAATTCTCAGAAAATATCAGGCTGCAGATTCAAAAAATGTAACTATATGTAACTTTATTATTAAGATGATTTAATTTTTTGATATCAATATGATATGTCCTTAAATACAGTGACTGCCTCATATCCTTAGTGGAATTTCCTCTAAAGTATGGGCCAACTCTTCTGGCATGAACTGCTGTTGCCTCAGCCATTGCTGGTACAGATTCCATGTCTATCATTTTTCTCCCAAACCCCACCATAATGTTTTTCTCCAAGATATGAGAAACGCCTTCAGTCCTGGATGTTTCCCGGTTTTCTTCTTTCTGCCAAAAAATATTTCTCATCTACTTTAATTTTTGATATTTTCCAATTACTTCCATAAGAATAAATTAATGGAAGCCTAAATATTTCCTGTGTACAAATAGAAAACTGACAGTAAAATACTGATCATGCAAAATAGTACCTAGGAAACGAAGACTATCTCATTTCCAGGAGGTAAGCCCCTTTCCTGTGATTTGCACTCACTAGTCCCCTGGAGTTATAGAGGCTAAATCTAATAATTTATTCACATCTCACACCTTTAAATATTTACAGACAGCTATAATTAGGAATCTCAACTCAATACATAAATATGTATGTATATATGAAATGTGTGTTTTTGCATACGTGAAATTTCTCCACTCTAAGGATCTTCAGTTACCTCACCCATTCCTCATACAATACAATTATCAGATCCTTCACTGAGCAAATTACTTTCTTTTTGGAGATAGATACATAGGTTAATATCTGTCCTTTTGAGTTATGGCATTCAGAACTGAATGTAATGTTCTGAATATGACCACTCACGTGGAGCACAGCATTTGTATATTAACCCTATCTGGGGAACAGCCATGCCCTGCACAAAATTCCCAGCCTGGTGATTATTTCGTTGAATTTTGTAGACTCATTATCAAAGTGTTGGCCCGGAAAAGCTTTTCCAGCACCTTCATGAACTGTCAGCTACAGAAGGGCAACGTTCCCCTTAGCTTCCCAATTTAGTGAACATATCTAAACAATGTAAAATGATGCTTATTATGCTCACATCCTTCTTTCAAGGAATATCCACCCAGCATAAGGTATATACCTTGCTATTTTTTGGAAAATTCTTAGAAATACACTCAGGGGTTGAGGATGGCACCATCACTTTTGGCTCACTCCTTCAGAAGCCGGTGAGTCATGGACTGATTTGCTAGTAGAATAACAGTGGTTCGGCCTGAGTATCTTTCTTGCCCAAAGTGGCAAATGTTTACACAAATTGGAACTCTCCATTCTCATGGTCAAACTGATTGGACCAAATCTTTCCCAGAACCAAACTGCAGAGATCAAAGTGGCTAGATTTGCATCAGTTTTTCTTTGCTGGGCAACATGGTCCTGCAAGAAGGAGGCAGGAGAAGCAATTCTAAGGAGGAAGGGGAGAAATCCAGTTTCTTTCTATTCCCCGCTCATTTACTATCTAATGGTTTTATACTGGTATCTTGAATATAGTTTCTGTCTTTGTAAAATAAAATTGGACTAGAGGATTTCTAAGTGCTTTTCTAGCTGTAAAATTATTTTATTCTATTTAACAGAGCAAATATTTATTGAGGACTAGTTGTGTGCAGTGTAAAGTATGGTAGTGCATGGAGAAATTGTCTTGCTTCATGGAACCCCAAAACCATTTTCACGTCTATACGCAATGTAGTGGATCTGAGGTTACCCTAATCAATCCTTGGCCCCTTTAGAAACAAAGACAGGGTCCTTCAGATGAGTTTCTATGTGAGTTTTCATTCTTCATATAACATCAGTGCTAGATAGATCAAGGGGAGCCTAAATCCATAGTAAAATGAAATAAAATGAGACTTCACTCTCTAAGTACAAAGACTATCACAAGCAGTGCTATGAGAGTGGACACCATGGCTGGGCTATCAGGAGGCAGGATTCTCCCTTCTGGAGATCTATTTCTTATCTTTACAACGTATCATATCTGTCTTGAAGAAAACACACACACACACTCCTCAGCAACTTGGAGAACATGGAAGAAGTATAAGAGTTTACTAATATATAAAGCAAAAGGCACTTTCTCAAACACTCTGATTGCTTTCTGCCTTCGAAATCTTCCCTTCAAAATTTAGCTTGGGGATTCAAGATTTCCAGCTGGGCTGGTTGTACAATTTGTGGGACTCAGTGCAAAATGAAAATTTAGGATTTCTTATTCAAAAGACAGGAAAAAAATGTGCCATTACGTAATAAAATGTAAAGGTTTTTTTCTTAAAATATTTTATTACTTATGAAACGCAATAGGGTTATAATGATACTTAAGAAAAACTTAAAATTGGTTTAAAATTTTGGTGTCATAAATTAATATAATAATACTTTAATATTGTATCTTGATTAATAAAATTTTATGGCTCACTTTTCTGCAAATTAATTTATGAGGTTAGCAAAATTCATGCCTGGAGCAACTTCATTTTCAAGCATATAAATGAAAGCAATGTCAAGTGCTCTTATTAAATGCAAGATCTTAACTAGAATTTTTCATTTCCAACTGCAAGAAGGATATTTCTGCTGATGTAACTGACACTGGAGCTCTTAAGAGTATTTTATATACTGTGACAACATTGCCGTAATTGTTTAATGGATTAATTGAAATATAAATTTTAGTGAATTAATGGTTGATGGTTCCTGTGAAACAATTTTCCTAAAACAATTTATCTCTTACCACAAATCAGTTTTATGTATATCTGAACTCAGTTTTCAATGTAAATTTATACAGTGCTATTTTAATGTTTCTGCTGAAATTTTAATAACTTGTAGAAGTTGTATAAGAAACTGGAAGTGGCTTAATGATATAGATATAATTCGCAATGCTTGTTTATTCATTTTATCACTGTATCTTCAATTATTAAAAAATTAATTTCAAAATTATCCTCTATGTTAAAACATGTCTGTTTAAAACTTCACACGAAAATAATGTTCTTCAGCCGCTTCTCAAAAAAAAAAAAATACAAGAGGCCAACAATCATGAAAAAAATATTCATCACTAATCATCAGAAAAATGCAAACTAAAACCACCATGTTTCACTTTTGTTAAAAAGCCAAAAAATAGCAGATGTTGATGAAGCTGTGAAGAAAAGGGAACACTTACACACTGTTGGTGGGAATGTAAATCAGTTCAGCAACTGTAGAGAGCAGTTTGGAGATTTCTCAAAGAACTGAGGGTTCAACTACCATTCCACCCAGCAATCCCACTACTGGGTATACACCCAAAGGAAAATAAATCATCCTACCAAAACACATATGTACCCATGTTCATCGCAGCACTAGTCACAATAGCAAAGGCATGGAATTAACCCAGGTGCCCATCAACAGTGGATTTGATAAGGAAAACATGGTCCATATACACCTGGAATACTATGCAGCTGTGAATGTGGCTGGAAACCATTATCCTAAGTGAACTAGCCAAGAAACATAAAGCCAAATATGACATGTTCTCACTTATAAGTAGGAGCTAAACATTAGGTATACATGTTCGTAAAACTGAGAGCAATAGACCCTAGGGAATACAAGAGAAGGGACAGAGGGAGAGGATTAAGGGTTGAAAAAAATCACCTTTTCAGTCCTTTGCTCACTACCTGGGTAATGGATTCATTCTAACTCCAAACTTGAGCATCACATAATATACCATTATAACAAATCTACAAATGAACCCCCAATTCTAAAATAAAAGTTGAAAAAAAAGATGTTAAGAAAAAAAAATATATAGCATTGAAAAGTAAGAAAATGCCGTTCTTTTCCATTAAGCTGCTATCCTTACATGTAATTTCTATTTCTAAACCTGCAAATATTCAAATTGTACTGTTATTATCAACTTTCAAAACCAGTCTCTGAACTTTTTTAAGGATTCTGATAACTCTCCAATATAACTTAACGCCTGTCCATGTATATGCTTTTATTGTGTAATAGTTTACTGAAAAGTTTACTGTCACTCACTTTGGATAGCTGCAGAACACCAGAGAGCCCTGTGTGCTCATGCATTCAAAGTAGCCCATCCAACTGCTCAACTCACACACTGCCCACTGTGCCCATGAACCTGAGCCTGCATATGTTTCTGTCCTGTGTTCTGCTGCCCTGTGTATCTCCTCTGCTCACCCACATGCTGTTACTCACACAAGTTTATAAACAAAACTATTTAAAATGTCAAGGCAGTGATAGCAGAGCATTAACCGGGGTCCTGTGGGTTGCACAGGTCACATACCCAGGAAGCTGACCCTGTTCCCAGCTTCACCAGAGTCTGCCAGTTTGTCTTCATTTTGGTTCTCAGAGCCCCAATCCTTCCTAGTCCATTCACTCACATCCACATAACAGACTTTGTAAGGTTGAAATTCTACATGTGTTGCAACTGATCCACATTTAAGTTTAAATTTTGGGTTTGCTTCTCAGAAGTCTTGAACTGTGCTACAGCAGGTACGTTTTTGGGGGGCAACCCTAGAAATTTCTGCTCTCTTTTCCAGACCTTGAATGACGTTACAGAATCATGAGTAATGCAAGACAAATGGATTTTAATGTAACAAAATGAAAGGTTTAATGAACTCTTTCTTACTAGGTGCAATTTAGAAATTATCCAAATGGAAATATTTGCCAGTGATGTGTGTGAGGACATTGCACAAATTTATCTGTTGAAATAACTTTTATTTCGTGATTTTAAAGAGTCTCCTGTAGTGTGTAGCTTAGAGTACACAACCTGCTGTCAGACATCGAGAGTGGGAGTCCCAGCCCAGGCTCATTGCTAGTTTAGTAACCATACGAGCTCAGGCAAGACTTGTGTGCCCTATAATCCTCAGTTTATTCATGTGTAAAGTAAAGAGGTATTGTCAGCACCTAGATAACATATGTAAATTCAGAGAATGTCTGACAACGACATTACGTGCTTTAAAATTTTATCTTTTACTGGTTCCAGGAGTGAAAAATATGAATACCAATATTAAAATATATATATAACATGCATCATATATACTCTCTTCTCTTTTACTAGAAAAGTGAAAAATCTGCATTTAGATGAAACACGGAGTCACCTCTTTTCTATTTGTTGACCAGTATACATTTTTTCAAAACTTTTTTCTCACAGTAATTTATATGCTCTCTGCTAGAGGATCTGTTTTAACAGTACATTGGGTCCTCATATCTTTATAAGTTGCTCCAATGGTTCCATATCAAAGCTTTTTCCCCCAAAGAGATTTCTGAGAGTAAAAGGGTAGAACAAAAAAGTTAAATGACAATCCTGAAGTGTCTAATTTTAGCAGAGGTAAAAGTGCAACGTCAATCAGAAAACTCAAAGCTGTGCAAATGATACTGTGGGGGCAACATGTCTCTCCTGGAAAGGGTTGGGGCTGCAGGCCCGGCTGCAATTTGGGTCCAGGCTGCAGATTTCCTGCGAGAACTGTGCCTCCACTGCACAGAATTACGTGCCTAAGTCTTTCAGTTGGGAGGCTATGATGTGTAGGGTACTACAGAGCTCCTTAGAATTCCTTTTTGACCATAACTTCCCACTGTGCTTCATCCCTGAAGCCATGAAAAACAGATTGATGAGGCCACCCCAGGTCTCTGTCAGAACCACTGCACGTTGTTCACAGAGGTAGAAAAACTGCACCTCAAAGTAGAGCTGGTTCTCTCCTGGAAACTTGGGGCTGAAGGACTCTGCTCCACCTTCACTCCCCTCACTCCTGCTTGGAAAGAGAAACGCAAATATGTATTATGTCACTAGGGAATCACTGATGCAGTTTCCAAACCTGTGAAGTATCCCTAGAAATACTCATGAGGATGTAGGACAGTCCAGGAGCTTTGTGTCAGCTCTTCCTTCCCTCCCTTTCCCTGTCGGTAGAGGAACTGCCCACAGCCCTCATCTAGGACAGTCTGACTCACTGCAAACCAGGACCTACAAAAGGCCCAGCAGAACTCCCAGTCTCCTCTCTATGGTTCCTTGCCTGGTTGCTGGGGTGCCTTCACCCCTGCTCTGGAATGGGGTCAAGGCTTGAGTCCAAACAAACTTGTTCTTCCAGTCAATGGTTTGCACATACACCCTGAGCACCAATCACACCTGAGTTCTGTCATTCATCTGAACAGGAAACTCCACCAGCTGTGACCCTTGAGACTGCACAGTAATCTCTCCAAAATTGTGGATGTGAATAGTGCAAGGGAGGAAGAAGCAATATTTCCAATGTGTGAAGATAGGATGTTTTTTCCCCTTAAAGTACATTATATGAGAGAAATTTGTAGGATAGTGTGTGAAGAAAGAGGATGATACACCTCAGAGGAATTCATGTCTCAGCTGGGGAAAGCAGAGCTTTGAAGAATCATGGGAAGCCCATATTACACAGCTTGACAGAAAATTGCAGAATTCAATTATATGAAAATTTTAATAAAGGAAAACTTCTTGATAGCATGTATTGTGAATTTAGAAATAAATACAATTTCTTGAAATCAGGAGATTGTCTGCATAGAAAATGTTTCCGACTAGAGTTTGGTTAGTTAAAAGAAAAATAGGATGTGTGTATGATATCCACCCTGACTTAATTTCTACCTCTCCCACTCTGTCCAGCCGTTTCCCCACACACCCTGCAGGCCCACACAGCTGTTACCATCAGACACATATTGCTGGTCAATTAAATATTGCCTCTCTATTCTCTTTCTGGTTTTGGTCCTTATTTTCTTCCTATTCTCCTTTCTTGTCCTTTTAGCCTCAGAGAAGATATATGAAGAAATCAGATATCAGGGGTATTTTGGAATAATTTCCATGTCAGTGAATTTCAGGAATTTTAGTCATAAAAATTTTAAAACCAAAAATATGTAATAGAGATGTTTTCTATTGAGTGTCCATTCTCTTGATTCCCAGTAAAACTCTAAATCCCTCACCTCTGCTTAGAGAATCATTCTAACAATGGATTTATAGACCTATGAACTCCAGCTTCCTGAGATTTTATATAGAAAGTCAGAGCTGAAAACCTAAGGTGAACTTTACACACACACTGTCCCCCACCCCACTGCAGTCCCATGTTATCTGTGATTTGACTGACACACATGCCCTCTTGTATCCTCGGTTCCACCCTTTGAGACCATCAGAAAAAGTCTTCGTTTCTGGAAATCTTAGAGGGGCTCCCTAGTGGACTGAAATCATCAACAGAGACCACTTTGGACCAACTAACTTTTCAGTAGTCACACACCCAGCCCCATTCACTTCATGTTTCCTATGAAGAAAACGGAGATGGTCAGAAAACCATATAACTGCCTAGATTAAATGGAGGTTAAGAATGAACCAACTGCCACTTTAAAAATGTCATTTCTTGGAAATTAGTATCTCAATTTGGCAATTGTCATCTTGTACTCTTCACTTAATTCCTTCTATTAGTTCAAAATAAGTCCAAAACACGTATTGAAGTTTTACTACAAGTGAATTATTTATTAGGTTTTAAGGATACTTAAAAGCAGATGTGACATTAGTTTATAGTCTACTGGAGTGGACAAAAACACATATCCATAATATAAATCACATAGTAGGACCCTAAGAGGAGTGTAAACTACAAGCTATATGATCCCAGAGGCAGGAAAAATACTTAGGAAAGTTGAACAAAACCTAATGAAGAAGGTGGTCATTTTCTCTTTTTTCCTTTTTTCTATGAGAAGAATAGAAAAGAATGTGGATAAATCTTTGTGATGGCTTTTATGATTTTTTATTGGTTTAATACTAGGAAGAATTCACAAATATATGAAATTATTTAAAGTAATACAGCATTCCAGATAAACTAAAATCTCCTCTGACCACGACTCCCAGTTCTAGTGCTTCCATTCCTTATTACCTGTATTCTTTCATCTAATCAATTTGAAGTTGATGCTATCTGCATACATATACAAAATATATGAAACAGCTGAAATATATAGTGTTTCATTTATAGTTTTAAAATGTAATAGAAGTGATACATCTTGTGCACACCTTTTTGTAACTCACTTTATAAACTCAAAAATAAATCTTTAGGTGTTATTGCATTAACACATATGGATCCTCCTGCTATACTGCATCACATTAGGGATATACTTCCGTTTATACAGCCTTTCTCCTAAGATGTTATTTTGTAACCATAAAATTTATTGCCAATAAAGCTTCTAAAGAATCCCTCTTTTTATTCACATGTGCTCATGTTGCTCCAGGAGTACAGACTAGGCGCTAGTGAAAGAACCATCAATGTGGCCAGCAGTGAAAAGCACTCCAGGCAGAGGGAAGATCAGGCAAAGCCTCTGAGGAAGAAGGGAATGAATTAATGTTCCAATTATTGTGTTGAATGGTTTTCTTTCTTATTACTTTTCTTAGTGTGCATTGGAGCTATAGTTTATTGGCTAATTTGATAAACTCTAAAATTACCATCTTGATATATATAGCTGGTGTGTAGTTTCTTCCAATCAGCCACAGAAGTAATTCTAAAGTAATTCTAAAGTCAAAGGAGATAAAACACACCCAAGAAGAAGGAGGGGGACATACAAGGAAAAAAACGTTATAGAATAACTTCAGGCAAAGAAAAAAATAACACTGGACATTTAAAAATTATATATGTGGGGCTGGGCGCGGTGGCTTACGCTTGTAATCCCAGCACTTTGGGAGGCCGAGGCGGGTGGATCACAAGGTCAAGAGATCGAGACCATCCTGGTCAACATGGTGAAACCCTGTCTCTACTAAAAATACAAAAAAATCAGCTGGGCATGGTGGCGCGTGCCTGTAATCCCAGCTACTCAGGAGACTGAAGTAGAAGAATTGTCTGAACCCAGGAGGCGGAGGTTGCAGTGAGCCAAGATCGCGCCATTGCACTCCAGCCTGGGTAACATGAGTGAAACTCCGTCTCAAATAAAAAAAAAAAAATTATATATGTGTATACATGTATATATAACTTAAGGATATTTTTAGGAACAAAACTACAATTTACACTTTAAAACAATAGAAAAAGAAAAGAAAACTTTATCAGTGCAACAGAAGACAGACTAAAAGAGGAAAGAACAGATCAGGAGCATGCTGAGCAAAGCCAAAATGTTAAAAATGAATCCAAACACATTAGTAATCGACACATTTTTATCAAAGACTATGATTCAAACAAATTTTAAAATCTTGCTACATGCTGCTTGAAGAAACAGACAACAACCCCCAAGAAAGCTGAACATATAGGATGAAATTCTTCCTGCTGCCCCTGTGTTCAAGGACTGTAGCCCCCTCCCTCTTCCACTTAACCCACTGCACCTGCCATAAACAACTTCCCAAAGAATGTCAATTCTTTTCTTTTCTTTTTTTAATGTCAATTCTGCTGATTAGGTAGTAAAGGAGCAGTGCAATACAAGAATAGCAAGTTAGCTAAATTAGCTCTGGCATAGTTGAAATCTAAGACAAGAGAGAGGGAAAAAAAGACAGGTTAAAAAAATTCAACATTCAGACAGAAAAGAGAGTAGAGAAAGAAAGGAAAACTGAGATGAAAAAAGATGAAAAACCAAAACGAAATTACGATTTAGCTGCAGAAAATGACAAACGTAAACATGAGAAAATTCCATATCCCAATGAAGCATAGAGAAAGAAGACAAGTCCAAATGATAGCTTTTACATTTTTATCATTGGTCTCTCTACTTCCTTTTACAATTTAAAATATTTAGAAACTACCTGTATCTGTTATTGCACATTTCTGTTTGCTATAGAAACACAAAAGAAAGCAGGGAAATGTCATTATCAAAATTATGTGTGATCATTGTGTGCACAAGCAATTAGCAAAGTGTTGTGTCAAGGGAAGCTTTAATGATCTTCTTCATGAATTTATCATTTACTTCCCTGGAGGGTTGCCATGGACTAAACCGTGACTCAGCTGAAACTTAACATGTTGATGTAAAATTTACATGTTTATCCCCAGTACATCAGAATGAAACTGTGTTTGAAAACAGGGATTTTAAACAGGTAAAATGAGATCACATAGCTGGGCTCTAATTCAATATAATTGGTGTTCTTATAAGAAAGGAAATCTGGACACAGATATGTGCACCATGAGAGGAGAGACCACCTGAGGGCACAGTGAGAAGGCAACCATCTGCAAGCCTCAAGACAACTCACCCTGCCAACACCTTGATCTTGGATTTCTACCTCCAGAATTGAGAGAAAACAGATTCTGTTGTTCATGCCATCCCGTCTGAGGTATTTGTCACAGCAGCTCTAGAAAATTAATATGAAGGCAAACTTTTAATATCCAATTATATGAAACATATCACACAGAGCAATTTGAAGTCATAAATATACATATAAAATTACAATATCTTAACATTCTACCTTTTATACTCATGTTTTGGTGCATTTGTTTCCTAAACAAAAGTGCTCCCTTGTCTTAGACATCCCCATAGAATTCTGGATAGAGGTCTAATTATCTTGACAACTTTGTTAATGTGCTTAAACAATTGGAAATTTGTATTGGATGTGCTGCATATTTCATATTAAATAACAGTGAAAATTTTCTTCATAAGTTACCCAATAAGCTTTAAAATATTTTAATATGTACTGTATATAGCAAAATGTCTCTAAATACTAAGTTCTCTGGAATGACTGTTGAGCAAGGATTATAATTACATGACTTATAGATATTCAGGATTTGCAGGAACAATTACGTAAATATTATCCATAATATCTATATATCAGTTACGAAGTAAAAATAAATACACTGAAGTGCTAGAATATATAATTTACGTGAAATCTTGTTAACAGAAACCACAGAATATCAAAAGTGAACTAGTTAACTTAAGTCTCAACTCTAAAGAGAGTCAACTGACTTAGTCAAGAAAGCAAACCCCAAGGCAGTCAACTACATTGTTTTTAATATGTGAGATCACAACAGAGAAAATTACAGTTCAGTTATCCACAGCATGAATGACACCTGAAGCTTTTATAAGTAGCACAGGAAATTTCAAATATTGGGCTTTTGTTAGAAAAATTAGTGGTAGGTTAAATAGCATAATGAATTTTAGAAATGGGTTTTCAAATAAAAGCATTTAAGATACAGATTTGAACTATAGAACTTTAACCCTACTCTTACATGAACAGCATATAAAAATCTAGAACAGCCTGTACCTTGCACCCTTAAGAATGCTACCAAATTCCCACCAGTCTGGATGAAGAAAATGTACACCACAGAATACTACACAGCCATAAAAAGAATGAGATTATGTCCTTTGCAGCAACATGGATGAGGCTGGAGGCCATTATCCTAAGTCAATTAACATAGAAACAGAAAGCCAAATACGGAATGGTCTCACTTATAAGTGGGAATTAAACATTGAGTACACATGGACACAAAGATGAGAACAATAACCACTGGGGATTCCAAATGTGGGGAGAGAGAGAAAAGGGAAGTGTTGAAAAACTCTCTATAGGGTACTATGTTCACTACAAGATCATTGGAAGCCCAAACCTCAGCATCACGCAATGTACGCACATAACAAACTTGCTCATGTAACCTCTGAATCTAATTTAAAAAAAAAAAAAAAAAAAAGAATGGAAACAAAGCTTTAATCCCTAAAAGACTCTGTAATCAGCCAATGGTGTGCACAGCCAAATGAATAAATAAATTGTTCTTTATTCATATAATAGGAAACTTCCCACAATTACAGTAATGAACATAGATTAACCTCCAGAACATGATAAGTGAAAGAAACCAGGCACGAGAGAGTACCTACCTAACAATCCCATTGATTTGAAGCTCTAAAATTGTCAGAGGGTATCTGTTGCCTCCAGAAGGTGGGTTGACTAGAAAGCCACACTCAAAAACGTCCTGGATGATAGAAATATTCTATCTGCAGATTGTTTTAAAATTATCATGGTCTTTTCCCTTCATTTTAAAGAAATCAAAAATAAGGATAATTAAGAGAGTTGGATGAATGAAAAATGACTTGGAATTTAACATCTTCAGACACTGTCTCATTGGTGAATGAAAGACTATTTGTATCAGAAGTTAAAATACATTTAAAAGGGATTACAATTTGCTTCAATGGTAAAATAGAATTTTGTGTCAAACATGCACAAAATGTTAAAAATAAAATTAATTTCATTAATATAAAAACACAACATTTCCAAATTCTTAATGTAATTCTTTATTGCGTAAAGTTTCTCATAATCAACAATAAATAAGTAAAATAATAAAACCATAAATAAATGCAACAAATGAGCAATAAATAAAACAAGCAAGCAACTTGACTTGTCAGGCAGGAGTGAGTGGGTAGGTGGAGCGGCTTGAGACCCTTGGTCCATGTATAAGTCTGGTCCTATAAGGAAAGAGAGATCGTATAATAATTTGAACAGGAAATGCTTTTTGTAATTGTAGTAAAAGTTTAATATTAACATAAAATATTATTAATTATAATGGGGTTAGAGTAACAAGAAAATAGGTAATACAAATAAAGGAAAACTGTTATTCCTATTCCTGTAGGAATAGCAGATATAAGGTGCAGTCTCTACTCCTAGGGCTGGGTATAACACCCCAAGAAGAGACCCCCCACCCCCACACCCCAGGGCTGAGATTCAGCTCTTATTGGGAAAGGCACAACTGTGGCTTACTAGATGACAGAGAAGTCACTATGGTGCTGTGAACTTTAGAGAAATCCATCCTCTCGTACTCACCAGAAAACCATAATCTAGGGTGTCAATTCACAAATCTAGGGTTGAATCTGGGGAAAGCTGGACAAAGGGAGATGTCTCACTGCAGGCTCTCTTCTACAATATCACCCAAAAATGGAAGTGCTGGAGGACTCTCCTGGCCACTATACAGCGCAGAAACCTGGTATGGGTGCACCGCAAGAACTGGACACTGGAGAAGCCTCCCACGCTGCAGGAACCTGTCGCATGGGAACACAGAAAGCAAAAAGCAAAACCTCTTCTTCCTGATCCTCTACTGACAGAGTATAATACTGTGACAATTGGCAAGGAACATGGTTGAAGGGTACAGATCCACATTCACAGAAGAAGCAAGGGGTGAATTTGAAGCTGAGAGTCAATAAATCAATCCACCCCTTGGACTACTCAACTTCTATATATAACTTTCTACACACATTTGAAATACATACAACAACAAAACAATTCTATATTTCTACCTCCTTCGAGATTCTGCATAAAGTGCCAATAATACTCCCTTTGGGCAATGTGGCTGAGCTGATAACAGTGAGTCATCTGAAGTTAGCCATCTTATCAAAGATAGAAGACAGTGTGCTTTAAAAATAGAAAAGAATGGAGGGACTAAGTCAGGGGACATTACATGAGTAGATTCCTTATTCATAATTTTACATCTCTAATGTTCCATTTACCTTCCTTATACCCATCCAGGAATCACTGAAACACATCTGTCACATATAATCATCTCACTAGGTCCTAAAAAATACTGCTGATCTGCTAGTTCATTTGGCTAAGGTGTACCATAGGCCACAATTCACTTATTCGCTTTATATTTGAGGATTCCTATGTACTTACCCTCTTATACATTCTAATGTCAGCCAAATAACAGCTAGAAACCTTCCTTCTCCTTCTCCTTTTTCTCCAGACTACTTGCTATCCTCCAAGACTTCAAGCAAACAAGAAGTATAAAAGCTTCTTAAACAGTTATTTCCAAACTACACAAAAAAAAAAGTCATAAATTTATTCTGGGTCCAGTGACCCTCTACTATGGATCATAATTTTTATCAGTGCTTCCAGCACAGTTTGGCATTGCTAAACTTATCACATGATTGATTATCAAAATGTTATAAGAATCAATCTTTAATATTGCAGTAGCTGAAATCATATAACAATGGGGTGAAAGCAATGAATAGAAATGCCAATGCCAGTAGCTAGAAGAAAAATGAAGGGATTATATCCACAAATTTCTGATACAGATTTGCACCATTTCTGACACCAAAAGAATAGGAAACTACTTTTCTAACTGTGAAAAAGTATTTGGAGAAACACGGGTGAATTTTTCATCTTCATTTTTCTTCTGCACTATTCTTACATAGTTGCCAGAACTAACATCACCTAACATTTTTCCAAGTCCCTTATGATTCTAATCACTCTTTTATTATTGACTAATAATTTCTCATAGTTCTTTCTAAATAAGGATAAACTCAGACAAAATATTTAGACACATGAATACCACAGTTAGAGGCAGAAAAAGAAACTCTAAAAAAAAAAAAAAGAAAGCCTATGAATGACCAACTTGAAAAGAAAACAAATTTTCAAGATAAGAACATGAGAAAATCATCTTCTGTTTTCCAGATTAGATGAGAGATGAAATGATCAACAAGAACCAAGTTTCTCCTAAGCCGTGTCACAGCTCACATAGTCAACACCCTAATGCAGACAACATCAAGGTAAGCCATGGAGTACCTGTTGTAAGGACACTATCTCTTCCACCATTCTAGAATAGTATTTCCCATTATGTAGTTTCTACAATGAGAAAAAGCTTCTGAAACAAAATTTATCAGACATGGAGCATAACAGGAACTGCAGAATTATGTAGAAATGCCTGAGTCGGCTCAGCCCTCTTTGCCTCATTCACCATCATAAAAAGAGATCTTTGAAAATGCCACAGGAAGAGATATTGAGTCTCTGAAAACTCCTCTAGCATAGACAGTTTGTGTTCAGCTCCCCCTGCAGACCCAGGCACTGTGGCACTCACAGCACAGAAGTACTCAGCAGCATCACTCCAATGCACAGAGGATTTTCTCAGGTTGAAGGAAGATTGACTCCTCTTAAATTCAGCTTTAAAGCCTTTAATGCCTTGAACTAGAGTGTCTCCTGAAAAGTACCTGAGGAGCAGCTGGAGGCCTTGGCCAGGGGACTGGACATACCAGAATAAATAGGCAGTTGCCCCATAGGAATAGTTGCATCTCAACTCCAGTGAGGCTCCTTCAGAGACAGTGATGTAGAGGTCAGGCTGGGTCACTGACTGGGCTCTGGCATCTCCTGGAAAACAGTACTATCAATGAAAGCAGTGCAGACTCAGTATAAAAAGTAAGCATTTCTAGTCAGAACCCGTGGAACTAGAGACCATAAAGAAATTTTACTCACTCAAGGCAAAATGTATCCCCAGCAGTGGGATGAGCACCAGGAGCATGGCTGAGCGAGGGAGACACTGCAAGCTCTTTTCTGCAAGATCTCCCAAGAACAGGAAGGAAAGTGGCTGCAGAGACCAAGACCAAGAAGTGTGAGGAAGGTTTGCTGTACACGCTCCTTGCTTATATAAAACTGCAAAAACTGCTGAGATGAATCTCTTTGCTTTTAAACCCTTGATTCTTGTCACTTGTCTCTGTCTGGAAAGAACTCAACCAGTTGCACGGAGGAGGAACTGAGCAGTGGATTGATCTTCAACAGAAACAAGAGCTCCAGTTTGCACAGCATCACCCTCTGGAGGCCAGGTGCAGAACCAGAGTTTATCAGGAACGTAGTAGAATAGGAGATAGCCTTAGGACACCTACAGCCCATCTCTCCCATTGGTTACAAGAGAAAACTGAATAAAACACACAAAATATAACTATCTGAGGACTCTGAAATTACTCAAAGCAGGCAAAATGTGTAGGGGAGTCAAACGTTAGAGAAGCAACTTGTGCAAATGTGAATTTCATTTTTTTTTCTCTCTTGGCTTTGCACTTAGAAAAGCCTCTGGTGTATGGCAGGGTGGCAATAACAATGTTACAGGAGACCAAAACTCTGAAAGAGGCACAATCTTTCTGCCTCTGTGGGCCAGGCTAGAAAAGGGAGACTCTAAGGAAGAGATGGAAAACAGCTCATGTCTCAGGCTAATCCCAAAGCTCCATGTCCCTGGGACTGACTCAAACCAGATCAACGAAGTTTAGGTTATTTAACCATCATTTCCATCTCAGACTACCTCTTGAGTGGCACCAACGCAGGACAAACTAAAACCAATGTAGCAGAGGGTTCAGGGCTGACCTGAGATTTGTGCCACCCAAGCAGGTTTCACACTAATCCCTGAACTACACTTGACCCAAACCAACATTGCAAATGATTAGAGAACTGAACTGAAATTTTGAGCTACCAAAGTCCACAAAAGGGGAGAGAAAACTTACGGTATGAACCAAACTAGTTTGATTTCCTGCTGAAGCAAAAACAACAAAATTCTTCAGAGGAATGCTTTTTAAGGAAGAATGAGAAGAAGAAGAAAACAGAGTCTATACACATAATATTTAAAATGTTTAAGATGCATTTCAAAATGATTGGACATACAAAGGATCAGAAAAGTGGGTTAATATTTAAGTAAAAGATCAACAGATGAAAGGTCAAGATGACTAAAATGCTAGAAGTAACAGAAAACGATGTTAAAGTAGCTCTTTTGATTATATACCACAAAGTTTAAAAATGGAAATTTTGGAAGTGAAAAATATAATACCCAAAATCAAAATGTCACAGTAAGGGCTCAATAGCAAAATGAAGATGATAGCGAAAAGAATAACAAACTTGAAAATAGATCAGTATAGATTATCTAACCTAATTAATTTTGACTTTGCTCCCCTCAGGAGACACTTGACAAATCTAAATATGAATTTGGTTGTCACAACTTGGGTATGTAATCTACAAGCATCTAGTGAGTAGAGGCAGACCTTAAAATCAAGAAAAAAAAATGAAAGAAAAAAAAATAGAGCCAAGGAGACCTAGTGGGACAATGTTCTAAATTCTAAGCTGTAACTAATCGGAGTCCTCGAAGGAGAAGAGAAAGAGATTGGGCCAGAAAACATACCAAATTCAAAGAAAGACAAACCTATGAATTCAAGTCCCAAACAGGATAAAATGAAAGGGAACCACATGTAAACATCAAAATTAAACTGAGGACAACAAAAGTCGATATGATTTTACCTGCATGTATGTGTGTGTACAAATGGCATATCTATGAAGCAGCTAGAGAAAAACAACATATTAATATCATTTGGGAACAATTACTTGAATAACCATAGATTTCTAACCAGAAAACCTGGAGACCAACAGACAATGAAAGGAGGGGGGATGGTTGGCACAGAATTACAGATCCAGTAAAAATATCTTCCACAAATAACGGGCAAATTAAGAATAAAGACCTCTTCAGATAACATATGATTAAAAAATACAATTACCAGCACTCCTACTCTAGAAAAAAATATTAAAGGGAGTTTTTCAAGTTTGAAGGGAACGACATCATTTCAAACACATCTCCTGGTATCAGAGGAAAACTTACTTTAGAAACAAAGCAAGGACTCCAGAGTTGGTAAATAGATATTAAACATGACATATTTATTATTATTCCTAGTAAGTTTTATACAGTCCATACAATTATTTAAAACAAAAATTGTATCACTATATGGTGAGGTTTCCAATATATGTGGCTTTAATATACATGAACTACTACAACAAACTTCAGTGTTGATGGATAAAGAGACATATTGTGTATAAATTTCTGCATTTTACATAAAAAGGAACAATATCACAGAAGACCCTGGATAGTTAGTCGTATGTATTATAATCTCCAGAGCAACCACTGAAAAAATATGGAAATATAACCAAAGCAGTCCATAGATAACGTAGTGTTTAAAATATTCAAATAATCCCAAAAAAGTCAGTTTAAAAAAATAAATAAATAAAAATAAATAAGGGTGAAACAGAAACACAATAATAACATAGTATACTAAAATTCAATTTCATTAATACATATTATATTACAATTATCTAAACTTCCCATTGCAAAACCAGAGATTGACCTAGTGGATAGAAAGGAAGACCCTATATTCAGCTACCTAAAGGCAACACACTTTAAATTTAAAGTCATAGTTTAAAAATAAACAGATGGAAAAAAATATAGCATACACCAGTAAGCATCAGAAACTTTGAATGGCTATTTAACATTATAAAACAGACTTCAAGGTTGAGTTCTTGAGTGACAGAAAGTCTCAGCCTCTCAGATGGTTTGTGTTCAGCTCCCCTGCAGTCTCAGGCACTGTGTCACTCACAGCACAGAAGTACTCAGCTGCATCGCTCACATGGGCTGAAGATTTCTTCAGGTGGAAAGAGCTTTCACTCTTCTTAATTTCAGCCTCAAAACCTTTGATGCCTTTAACCAGGGTGGATCCTGATACATACTTCAGGAGAAACTGGAGTCCTTGGTTGGGGTGTCGCACGTACCAGAAGAGATACACCGCTGAAACAGACGACGAGTAGTTGCACTTCAGCAGCACAGGGGCTCCTTCAGAGACAGTGACCTGGCCGTCAAGCTGGGTCACAGACTGGGCTCTGGTTCCTCCTGCAACACCAATACTGTGTAAGCAAAAGCAGCACAGACTTCTCTAAGAAAAGATGTGTCTGTTTAGAGGCAATTACAACATAGTCACATTTACAAAAGGAGGAAAAGGAATGGAATGCTACTCACCCAGGACAAAAATCACCGCGAGCACTGGGACGAGCAGCAGGAGCATGGCTGAGCAGTGGCAACAATGCAGGACCCTCAGCAGGGCAGACAGAAGCCAAGAGCACTGAGCCTCGGGAGCTAGGAGCGGTGGGGAGGTTGGACTGGACAAGTCCCTGACTTTGAAAAGTTTCAAAAACAGAAAGAAGGCTTCCCTTAAGGAGTCTGGATGTGTTCTGCCCTCTTGTTCTCGTCACAACTCTCTGCACAGACATCGGTGAGCTGCATCAGCCAGCTGCAGGGGGGAGGCTCAGTGAAATGAGGATGGTCTGGGACGAAAACAGATGCCTCCTTAGAGCAACGTCGCCCCCTGGAGGCCACAGGCGGAACCCCAGATCCAAGGAAGTGAACTGTTTCCTTCTCATTTGAGAGATGTGATATCAAAACCAACAGAAAGTGTTTCCTTCTTCCCGAGTCTGTGATGACGTCACCTTCCGTAGAGTATATGGTTTTAATTTTACATACATGAGAAGTGAGAGTTATGTAAAAATAGAAGGGTAATTTACTTCACTGAGAAATTAGTCACAGAAGACAACGTTCTAGACTTTGGAAAACCATAGAGACACTGTATTAGTAAAGCCATTCATCAGGGAGAGGGGAGGTGATCAGTTGGCTCAGTCGGGGCTGAGCTTCATATGGGCCTGTGCAGCTAGATGTGAGCATTACAGTAGGTGTAAGATATTATTCCTTTATTTGATTCTGAAAAAAAAAAAAAAAAAAAAAAAAAACAGAGACTCATACTTAAAATCAGCCTGGACCATATGTCATTAATTACTTAAACAAAGCAAACAATTAAAAGCAAGAATTTTCTTTCTCAAGTAGAAGTGTGGGAAAGACTTCCTAATTTCAGGTCAACAAGTTTAATATTTGTGAACCTAGGAGAAAATAACTTAGATAACTTATATTTAAGAAGAGAAAGTGAGAGTCCTGTTCCAGCTGTCAGTGTTCAGAATAGACTGACATAATGTGCCAAATTATTTGAATCTGACACTAAAAAAAAAAAAAAAATAACTAATGCAGTTTCTCTATCTCCACAATTAAATTCCTCCATCTATGAAGTCTATGAAGAAACTTGAACAGAATGATAAGTGGAAGAAAATATAACATATAACTAAGTGATTATCAAAGTAGTTAAAGAAATTTTTTTAAAAGTAAACCTACATGAACTCAATACAGTTGAAAGGAGTGCAACCAGCAGACCAGAACAAGAGGAACCTGTGAGAGGTGTGGAAATCGTGAGAGGTACTGACAGCGACGCTCAACAGAGCTAAGCAAGCAGCAGTGCCCTGTGGGTGGGAGACAAGGCATATCTAACAAGAACAGACTGTTATGTCCCCCAATAACAAAGTGAAGCTTTTGAGCAAAAAACCTTCCGCACCCAACTTATTGTAGCATAGAGATCATTGGATCCTGAAAATGAAATAACCAAATAAGGAGAAAAATCTCAGGTAAAATGCAATTTTAAAAGGTCAGAACAAAAACTGCTTTCTGAATACTCCATTGACTTGTACCAACCCGAAATCAGTTTTCTCTTGGACTTCTGATCTATTCCTTGATTCTGCCTATAAATTTTTTACCAAATGTAAGACAAAATTATACAGTCAGTTTGAAAAGTTAAATGTTACTAGGGAGGGCTTCTGATACAAAACTTCTAACTAAACGTATGTGCTGTCCTCTTAACTCTCTAAAATTCCCACTGAAATGAAATCTAAAAGCATAAACAGAATGACCTGAATCCATTAATAGTAAAAGTAATAAAAAGATGAAAGATATCACAATTCCCATGAGGTAGATGAAAAGTGGATACAAGCACACTGATGGATAAAACGGAGAGGGAAAAAGTTCAGGCCAGAATGAACTATGAGAAGATTATAGTGGAAATGTGAGTGAAGGGAACCTACTGGGTGGGACCCTGGAGAGGTTCTGGGTTGAGAAAGAGAGTAGGTGATAAAGGGTGAGAGGAACAGAACACAAGAGAACATAGTGAAAGCCCACATATGGAATAGCTGCACTAGCCTCTCTCTGTTTGCACCATCCTGCTTCTGTATTTGTGTTTGAGAAGTATATGAAGCCAACCTGGGGCATTTACTCTTTATGAGAGTTTACATGAACCATGTGGGGCGGTTTCAGTTTTTATTATGAGTAGTTGACAGAATTAGGCCATTTTCAATGATATTAGGTGCAGGGAACAAAAAGAAGCAACTTAATTATCAGTTCCCTCTCCTCATTCATCCTATAAAGAAGCCTGTCAATTCACATGATGGGCCCACATACCCACACTACTGGCCAGGCACCCCATTCAAGAAGAAACCTTGTGGGGAACATGGGCACAATGACATGAAGATGCCATCCTGCTACCCAGTCCTCTGTTCTTAAATACAAATTAATAACAAAATAGCATTAGTCATGTATAAATATAGATGGTATCTCTGTTGTTCTCTCTACACATGGAAGCCCCGAGTTATGAACTGTAAATCATGAGAATCATTGCAACCAGGAAAGTGAGTGCTGAACAGAATGTCATCTCAAAATTCCCAAAAGCAACCGAGATAGTAGAGTGGTTCTTTGGTCACCATTTTTTTTAAAATTCCTGAATTTTAGCTTTGAAAAAATATTTCCTTATATTTATTTTTTATATTTATTTAGATGGTTTCTGTTAACAAGTGTTTTAACATTATTTCAACTCTTCAAAATTGGTAAGGCCACCTGTGTAAACCCCCTCGAATAGAGAAATAAATTAAAATTCAGAATACAATTAAAGTTTGTTATTTCTTGAATGCTGCCCACATCCCAGGCAAGTTCCATGTTAATAATGAACACTGCTGTCCTCAGCCTCAATCCCCTTTCCCAGGACAGTGTAGCCATCCCCTGCTACTGTGAGTGTTGGCTACTCTCGACTCACAGTTGCCCCTTTTCCTAGTTGACCTCAGCCAATGAGAGTCACCATTTCCCAGCAGCATTTACCGCTACCCCAAGAAACACCACAGCCAATGAGGACCTATTCTTACCCACAGTATGTCAGAGCAGTCTGGTCCCTTTGCCTCAGGGTAGGAGGGATCAACCCTGTGATGTAGTTCACGCTCCAGAGCTCCCTGTGAGGTCAGGCTGGATCAAGACGCCCGCTGGACTGTGTCCATGCTTAGCCTTTCCCCCGTCTCAACCTGGTTTCTTCAATCAATTATGGAGAAAGAATTCCAAGTGCAGCCTTTGCTTTTAAGGAACTCATCCCAAGGCTGTATGTTATCTCATTTAATACTGAAACGAATCCTAAAATATATATAATATGTAGCCTAATAGATGGCCCATTAGTAACATAAATAGTCAAACAAAAAACACAACACAGATTCTTTCCAGAATGCCAGGAAACCAGAAGTGATACAATAAATATGGAACTAAAATTTAAGTATCTTGATTCTGGTGCAACTTTCTGCTCTTCCTTACTGCCTTTCAAATCTTTCTTCTAAGACGTGGAAAGATTTTTTCAGTCTTTTGTTCTTCAGATTAATAATTTGGAGCAAATTTGACTGAGTTGCATCCTTTTCATCAGTGACTATGGGAACAACCCTGGACAGAAGTCTTAATTCTCCATTTCTAACCTTTCCCACTTTGGGGACTACATAAACAATATCATGCCCAACAGGCTACAACTTCACTTTTATAATAAAGTGACGTTCAAAGTTTTTTCCTGAAATTCAACTTAATATCTACTAAAAAGCCTTATTTTCATCAGGCACAAATATTTTGCGTTATCTTAGTATACATTGCAGGGAAAATCTGTGGTGCCAGGTAGTCAGAGGAGGGAAGCGTTTATATGCTCTTCAGTGTTTCCCACTCTCCTCCAACATTTGCTGAAACATGCTCAATACCATATGGTCTCTGGTAAGTGATTTATACAGGTCTTTGCTCATAATAACAAAGCGCCTTGGTGTCTAGACTTCTTTTAGATACTTGGAGATCCTTCTCAATGAATTTTAAGTCATTCCAGCAGGGGCTGTGAGTATGTGGCATGCTGTGGGTAAGGCTAATGCCACACTCAATTACAAAGGAATCAATATACTCTTCCACAAGGTTTTGAGTTCAATTCAGACTTTACCCAAAAATTGCAACATAGACTTTCTCTCTATCTTTCATCTCTGCAACTACCTAGGCTTTTTTTTTAACCAGTTCTCACCCTCTCCCCTCTAGTTCTTCCATCTACTCATCAAATGTGCCCTTATATAAATCATGAGTGGCGCTGCAGCTGAGGCTGGAGATGGGGTGAGTTTTCTATAACTAAAATAATTTATGACTTACAGGATTTTCACAGTAGTTTGCTGATTTTTTTAATTTTGTATTTGTGTTTTTCTGTTGCATTCCTAAAGCAATGACTTTCAAACTTCTTGGGCAACTAAACAGGGAAATAATAAGATGTCCTATAGACTGACAGAATATCTGTTATTGTATGAAAATCTTTTCCTGATAAAAACAAAAAGGGTCATAAAAACAATCTCATAAAGCAAAGATGTGGCATAAAACTAGTGTGGGCATTAAAATGTATACATTATATAATATATGTACCTTGCCATATATCAATCATACCTAAATTTTTAAAAAGGAGGAAGTAAACTTTTAGAGATGATGGATATGCTTATGGCATAGACTGTAATGGGTACGTATGAAATAAGTATGTGCTCCTTTTGGTTTGTCAGTTATCTCAATAAAAAACATTTTTTTAATCTCTCCAGAAGAAAGATAAAAATATTTTAAAACTGCCAGGAGCAGTGGCTCATGCCTGTAATCCCAACACTTTGGTAGGTTGAGGCGGGTGGATCATGAGGTCAGGAGATCAAGACCATCCTGGCTAACATAGTGAAGCCCCGTCTCTACTAAAAATTAAGAAAAAATTAGCCAGGTGTGATGGCACGTGCCTGTAATCCCAGATACATGGGAGGCTGAGGAAGGCAAATCACTTGAACCTAGGAGGCGGAGTGAGCTGAGATCACACCACTGCACTCCAGCCTGGGTAACAGAGAGAGACTTTGTCTCAAAATATATACATATATGTATATACTAAAGTAGGAAGGGAATACTGGAAAATATTTTAACCAGATCAAGACTGTATCTTTCATTTTCCTTGAGGGTCTCAATTATTTTCAGAATTATATTAATACTTCCCTAATCAATCAGTCCTCCATACTAGTAATCTTAATTTCCACTTGAATCTAGAGAGCAAAGAGAACTTTACTGCCCTGCAGTCTAAGCTCTACCTCAGGCATTCCTGGGCCGAGCAGGTTTGGGTACAGACTGCAGGTGTCTGGGGAGCACTCTGTGCTCACTGCACAGAGGTAGGTGGCTGAGTCACTGAGCTGGGAGTCTCTGATGAGCAGGGAAAGATACCGGCTGGCTCTACTGAGCTGTGCTGTAAACCTTCCATCTTCATTTCCACTGGAGTATACGGACATCAGCAACTTAGGTCCTTTCCTGGGATCCTGTCTGTACCAGAAGAAAGACCGAGAAGCACTGTTGCTATAAGTGCAGTTGAAAGCAACAGTGGTTCTCTCTGGAACATTGAAGGGTCCAGGATCCTGCTCCACCTCCTTCTGTTGGCTCCAAACCCCTGTGAAAAAGACAGTGGTCAGACAGAGAAGACAAATTAGGAGGTAAACACTTACTCCCCAGAATTCTAATAATCTTTTTACGGG